CACTCACTTTTCCCCATGTTCTGTATCTTAATCCACCTATCCCCTTCACTGTCATTGTTGTTGCGTTGGCACCATGCTTGTTTTCAAGCCGGTGGGTACGGTGAAGTAGCGAAGTCCCAAAAAAAGTTACTCTCTCGTGCCGGGAAGCTATCTGAGTGATAACTTGTCTGAACCGTGGTCCAAATGGTGTGATAGGAACCGGAAAGCTTTGAAGATGACAGAATAACAGTGTCTGATGACACACAATGATTCTCCAACATCAGTGATTTGTAAACAAATAGATTTATTTATAACGAGTGGTATCGATCAGAAAAGAATAATAAATACAAGCAAGAAACGGATTGTTGGATCACAGTTTGCAAGAAATTGCACAGCGCCGTCAAAGAGCAAAGTTACTCATCCATCTTGAAGAAGCCGGACAATCCAGGAGTGCCACCGATAAATCTGTTTGCGATGATTTTTAGCTAGAAAGGAAACAACAGACAAGAAATTATGCACCTCTACCAGGACAAGGTACATACTTTTAACCGATGATTAAAATTTATTTCTATTGGATTACAATATGCTTACACATAATACATATGCGTGCGCATGTGTTTTCTAAATGGTATCCACTTGATATCTTCCCACAGGCTGCATGGCTTCCCAGTAGTTGCTGTGTATTGTCATAAGCGCTATCAGATCAGGTATTTCTAGAATCACATTGAAGTCATTTGATACAGCAAGCAGCTTGTACTCACTTGAAATGGTGGGTTGCGATCCGCATGACCCTGAGCAGTCTCCAGTAGATCGCGAACCAATGCAAAAGGAACGCTACCCATTATCACGATAATTACGTAATCCACGTTATGCGATTCTACCGAGTGTGGTCCAGACCCACCAAGAGGAATGTAGCGACTGACGATGCGATTGCATCAAATAAAAACGAAACAAACATGAAATGAATTAATCGATTTTTGACTACTGGATCTGTGTCAACCTCAACGGGTTCCTGTTTCTGAACGATCGAACAAGTAATACGTTTATTGGTATTCTTTAGAACTTTGTTTTCATTCGTCTTGGAGGCCCAGTTAAAACCAAATAGGAACACCCAACCGGGGAAGAAACCTTTAGTTGCATGCCTCCAGCAGAACTGAAGTCATATTGTTAGTGACGAGTTTTTCACTGCCTTGAGAAACCTTCTTCAAATAATCAATGAATTGTATTGTATTGTGTTGTATTGTATTGTATTGTATTTGTAACTTGTGTAAGCATATATGCTTACACTTCAGTTGAAAATGCACTTTGTCGGACTCAATTCTTCTAATGTTCCCTACACTCAATTAGATAGTTTGATGACCAAGCAAAACTAAAACTATCCAACTAGAAGTATGTACACCAACGTATAAAGAGCACAAATTAGTATGTTGAGGACAATGAAAGAAAAACGATTATAGCCACAATGAACCAAGTTGGTAAACTGCGGTGTCCTGTGGAGTATAGTCAAACTCAGTCATCTCTAACTTGTTTGTTCAATTCTCAACTGTGGCTCCATACTACTGGATTGATAGACAAACGATATCGACCATCTGATCAAGTGGCAAAAAATAAAATCTGTCTAACTAACAGGAATGTACGGGTCTTTGGGGGTTATGTCACATCTCTCAAGTGGAAAATGCGCATAGGAGTGAGAAAAGATACACCACAAAAAGCAGGGTGATTTTGGGAATGCCCGTTGTACAAAATTCTATCAAACTTCGATTTTCATTGAAAGCGGTTCAATCCCTTCAATAAAC